GCACAGTCTCGGCCAATCTTCTTTCTCGCTTTGCTCTCGAGGAGGCTGGATACCAGCAGATCCAACTCCGGCAATTCATCACGATGCAGTTCCATGATGGCAAGTGGAGAGTTGTGCTGAAGCCCCGCTGGAAGGATGCTGCGAAGGCTTAATGCGCGAGCTTTCGCGTCGCTACTGCAGCATGTTGGGGTGGATGGCGTTGAGCAGGAAGCACTCGATTGAAGAACAGATTGAAAAGACAGGGGAAAGCGCGAAGCAGGACCATTCTCCAGTTTGAGGGCACATTCCTTTTCTCTTTTAGGTAGTGCGACTAGACAGTAGAAGGCACAATTTGATTGATTCCACCGCCAACTCCCGTGCTCGTCTGCTTTCTTGCAACTTGACATGGCTCTGGACTGAAGCGTGAGGCGAGCGGAGTCAGCGGAGTCAGCGGAGTCAGGCTGCATGAAGGCAAGGATATCGACCCGGGCTGTGGACAGAGGCTCGGGCTTATCTCGCAGCCTGCAGCCAAGGCCGAAGTAGCAGCGCATGCCGTCAGCGAGCGTGAGGCAGCCCTGGAGTGCCGGAGGCTAGCGCGCCGCTGCACGGGAGCGCGTCAGGGCAACTCAGCAGCAACAGCAACAGCCTTGTGCACGACACCATGGCCATGGCCACGACCCCGACCCCGACCCGCACACGACATGTCTGAGCCCCGACGCTCGACGAGGGCGCGCGCCCGCGAAGACGCCGCCCCGGCTGCCCCCGACACGCCCAACGACAAGCCCGCCAAAGCCGCCAAAGCCGCCCTGAAGCGCAAGCGGACCAGCCTCGCCGTCAAAGACGCGCCGCCCTCGACGCCCGTTGCTGAGGGCGCGCCGCTGCCCCCACGACAGACGCTGCCCCTCCAGCTGGTCGACGGCGCGCCGCTGCCCACACTGCGCGAGCCACAGCCCCTCCACCTTCCATCGAGCGAATGGCAGACGATCCAGCAGAGCCGCGTCCTCGAGACGTCCTTCGAGCGCTCCAAGGCTGTCTGGCTGTCTGGCGCCAACTTCCGCACCTTCCATGCCCACTTCAACCAGCCCAAGAAGCTGGCCGACCGCACCGACGAGGACAAGGCCAAGACGGCGAGACAGAAGGAGCTGCTCAAGAACTTCCCCCAGGTCGGTGCCGACCGCGTGAGCGTGAAGCTCGTCATAGAGCCGCACACGCTGCCTATCCGCCTCTACGGCCCGCGCGAGGTGGGCAGACCAGCACAGAAAAAGCCTCCCGCGCCATCGCCCTATGCTCCCTGGCCAAACCACAACCAGCCCAACCAACACACCAAATACCAGGGTGGCCAGCCGATACAGCAGAAACCCCAGCCACGCCCACCGCAGCCCCCCAAACCTGTCCAGGCCGCGCCTCCGCCTCAGGCCCCCGCAGCCCCCGCCCCCGATCCCGTCATACACATGCTTGCCGCGAGAGCAGGAACAGATCCCGAGCTGAAGGCTGTCATGAAGATAGTCGCCGCTGGCTCGGCAAGCAAGGAGCAGCTCGAGTTCTTCCAGACACACATCAACGAATTGACGGCGATTCTGGCCAGGCAGAAGGAAGAAAAAGCGCCCAAACCAACTCCGCCAACGCAACCCCCCAAACCTACGCCGCCGCCGCCGCCTCCAGCACCGAAACACACAGCTCCTCCTCCGCTTCCCCGCCCAGTCCAGCCAGTCCAGCAGCCTCTGCAGCCCAGCACGCCCAAGCCGTACAGTCCGGTCCCGCCACAGGGACAGACGCAGCAACCCTCGCCTACACAACAGCCATATCCACCCTATCCGAACAACTTCAGCAAACCGCCGCAATACCACCCGCTGCCGCAGCTATCGACCTACAACCCACCCCCGAGGACAACATATCGCCCGTTGGTCTTCAGTTTTGTCCATGGCAGCGAAGACAAGTTTTACTTCCCTTCGTATAGTTTCATGGAATGGCTTCCCAATGGCACAGGTGCAAAGCTGTCCTTCCTCATCACCAAGATGAAGCCAAGGCCGGATCCAGTCGTCAAACCTCCGTCTGCCTCTGCTCAAAAGTCAATGCCAACGCCGATTCCGACTCTCGGTACTGCGACTAATGCTATGCCTGACGCACCCCCACCGAATGCCATCATACCAACACCCAGCCCCACCAACCCTGCTTTTGCGTCCATACAACCCGCCGCATCAGCCCCCTCGGCAACCTTCGTGCCGCCTAAACCGCCCCAACGAATCGAAGATTTTGACGAGATGAACGAGATAGACAACATTGAATTCTACCAGCCAGTTACTGTCCTTCTACTGATCGAGCACGATGAAGGCGACGAAATCGCAAGCGCCTTGCCGCGCTCGATACGACCACCGCATGTCGTGGAGAAATACATGAACGAGGTGTTTGATAAGTGCAAAAGGGCAGAGGAGACGTATCTAGCCTTCAGACTGCCCAAAGACGGCGATGAGTTGCCAGAGAAGAGAATAAGGAGCGGCGACGTGACGCCTGCGGTTGCAACGCCGACTCAGGACGTCGCCATGGGAGGGATGGGTGGGTCTGCCAGTAGTATGGCAGAAAAGAAGAAAGCTGGACGGCCTAAGAAGAGTCTTGTATGAGATCGTCTGATCGTGTGCCGATATTGTGGAAACCTTGGAATAGTCTTGCGGTGTGTATGAGTACAAATGATACCCATTTCTTAGCGTCAAACTACACACATTCTGCTCCGGTATCGCGTGTCATTGATATACGGTTGCGAGATACGTGAGACGGTATTGTCTGAAGCATGCTCTTCGTTACACATGAGATCCGGAGCTGCCATCGCTCAACTCCGATGCCAAGATCTTCGCTGCGGCCTGCTTATCCTAGTTAGATCACCCGCAGCTGCCTATCTCCATGCATCTGTGCCCTTCGCGCGCTCCATTTCCGCAACGTCACCATAATCCTTTTTGCTTTACCTGAGTCCAGTGCTACGGTCGCAGTACTTTCTCTGCGTCGACATTCCCGACAGTATAAAGTATTTAGGCAGCGCAAGACCACGTCCTGTGACTGAAATCATGCCCAACCTCAAAGCCATCTTTACAAAAGCGTACTGGACATTTGCCATTCTAGGCATTGTCTGGGCCGCGTTTGTGGGCCTATTGGTCAATCCCACGGTACAAAGGCAGTACGTTTTGCTCTCATCATGACAGATGAGATGATGTTTGGAGTCGATTCTAATGTCTTCTCAGCGCTCTCTATGCCCATAAATTTCACACGGGGTTCTACCACAACGTGACGAATCCCGAAGAATTCGGCTTTGCGAGTAAGTGCATCTGTAACTCTTCCTCGATTTGTTCTATCGCTGTACTAAGTACCCATGTGTAGAGGGGCAAGTACAACCCTTTTGGCTTACTACAGCGGATCAAGAGAAGCTCTTTTGCTGGCATGTACTTCCTCTAGATGTTTATCTGGAGAATGAACATGAGCTTTTTACTGCTGCTGTTTCGGGGGAAGTTGCAGAGGAATTGAAGGGAACGATAGGAGAGAAGCTGTTGAGCAGCGACCCGGAAAGTAGGGTTGTGGTCAACTTTCATGGTGTAGGTTGTGCTTTCTTTCGATTCTTGACTTTCGGTTTGGCATGCTGTCCCTTTCTTTCCAGAGTCTTTGGTCTTATCACATCTCAAACTCTCATCTCAGACTATATCGACTCTTCTTTCTTAGTTTTACATGGTTTCTCCCTCATTCTTCCGTCACTTCATCCACCGTTAACTCTTCTTAATATTTCCAGCTTATCTATCACTCATTCTAATCCACCCAAACAGAACGCTGGCCACATAGCCCAAGGTTACCGCCCCTCAACCTACCGCTCCGTCTCTGGCATCCCAAAAACTCACCTCGTAACCTGCGACTACCGGGGCTTCGGTCTCTCCACGCTCACACACTCCCCGCATATCCCCACTGAAAGCGGTCTAATAGCCGACGCCTTAAGCCTGATTTCCTACATCACCTCGGACCTCTCTCATTCAAGCACACGCACCGTTCTCCTGGGCCAGAGCCTCGGCACCGCCGTAACAGCCGCCAGCGCGCTCTACTTCACCAATTCCACCTCCGAGTACCTCCCATTGGCCATTACATCCCCATCTGTAACATTCAAACCATCCCGTAACTTTGAAGGTTTCGCCGGCATCGTCCTAGTAGCCCCCTTCACCTCGCTCCCCCAACTCCTCAAGACCTACAAAATCGGCGGCGTTCTCCCCATCCTAAAACCACTGCAAGGCTACCCCAGGATAGCAAACTATCTATCCACTCGCATCGTCGACCACTGGCCCACCCTCACCCGCCTACGCGCCCTCATCTCCACCGCCTCAGCCAACAAGTCCGGTTTCCACATTACTCTCCTGCACGCACGAAACGACCAGGATATCACGTACTGGGAATCTGAAGCGTTGTTCCAGCCACTGGCTACGCAAATGTTGACGGAAGAAGGGGTTGTGGCGGAGGAGGAGAGGAGAACGATTCAAGGGGCGAATAGGGTCAAGAGGGGTGCTTTTGCGTATAAGAAGGTCGAGGACGACAAGGGAGATAGGATGGTGGAGTTGGAGGTTGTGAGGTATGGAGGGCATAATGAAGTGGTGGGGTGGACGCAGGTTAGTCTTGCGATTAGGAGGGCGTTTGTGAGGAAGACGATGAGGCCGGGGTTGGACGTTGAGTAGGTTTTGGAGGAAGGGGTAAGTTACATTGGTTCTACCTGGGTTTGTTGAATTGAAGAAGAAGACGGAGAAGCAGCTGGATGGAGCTGGATGGAGCTGTTGAGGGGATATAATTCGTCGTCATATGGCGGTGTTGTTTACAACATTACATGTACAATACTTCTACACCTTTCTACCAATCCCACAAGAATACGCCAGACGTCCGCCAATGTAGATAAATCGATGTATGTCATTAGCACTCGAATCATCCAGGGAGCTCGTTGTACCAACACCGAGCTTTTCCACGGCCCCTATCCTGTTTCAACTCCGATTGAGCTTAGGAGGCAAATCTTACGCATTCCTAGCCTGCTGTTCCTTCTCGTACTTTGCCACAAGCTCCTTCTGCAGCTGCGGCGGCGCGGGACTGTAATGGCTAAACTCCATGCTAAACTCCCCCTTACCCTGCGTACTAGCACGCAACTGGCTGCTAAAGCCAAACATGCTGTTCAAACTGCAATCCGCATAGACAGTAAAGTCCTCCGGACCAATCTCCGTATCGTTGATAACAGCATTGCGCTTATTCAGAAGACCAACAACAGAACCCTGGAACTCATTCGGCGCCGTGATGGTCGTCTTCATAAGCGGCTCAAGTACCTGAGGCGCACCGGCCTGGAAAGCTTTGCGGAAAGCTTGCTGGGTGGCCATTTTGAAGGCCATTTCCGAGGAATCGACAGCGTGGGTAGCTCCGTCGTTGATGATCATGGAAGTACCCAAAACCTTATGGCCGAGAAGCGGGCCCTTGGCCGTGGAGGCCATGAAGCCCTTTTCACAGGCGAAGAGGAACTTCTCGGAGATGGTGCCTCCGGAAATCTGTTGCTCGAACTTGTTCTCACCAGCAGCTTCGCTTGGCTCCATCCAGCCGACTACTCGCGCGTAATCTCCTGACCCACCACTCTGCTTCTTGAGCGTGTGGTCGAAGTTGACGCGCTTGGTCATTGTCTCGCGGTAGGCGACTTGTGGTTGTCCGGTTTCGCACTCGACGCGGTATTCGCGGCGCATGCGCTCGACATAGATGTCCAGATGTAGTTCTCCCATACCGGAGATGATGGTCTCTTGCGATTCGGGGTCGGTATGGACTCGGAATGTAGGGTCTTCGCGCGTGAAGCGGCTCATGGCTTTGCTAAAGTTGGGTGTATCTTTGGTGTGCTTGGGCTTGATTGATAGGGAGATGACGGGTTCGGGTACGAACATGGAGGTCTATCGTGTCAGCTTGAAGATATGATAACAATAGTCTTAAAGTCTTACCATGGTGTATCCAAGATTACCGTCAGTGAAGGTATCTCCAGACGCGCAGTCAACACCGAACACGGCACAGATTTCTCCAGCACCAATTTCCTGGATTTCCTCCATGTCGTTGGAGTGCATGCGCACAATCTTCGGTATCCTGACCTTCTTGTCTGACCTCGCGTTGAATACATTCATTCCCTTTCTGAGCGTACCCTGGTACACACGGATGTATGTCAATTGTCCAAAACTACTTTCTTCTAGCTTGAAAGCCAGACCGACAAATGGCAAAGAGTTGTATGATACCAGCTTGACCGGTGCCTCTGCTCGCTTCTTGTCCAGTGCCATGTTCTCGACTTCGGAGGGGTTTGGTAGGTAGTCGCAAACAGCGTCGAGCATTGGTTGGACGGATTTGTCTGCAAGCGCGGAGCCCATCATAACCGGGGTGAACTTGAGGGAGATGGTGGCTCGTCGAATCGCAGCCTTGATCTGGTGAATTGTCGGTTCCTGCTCGTCCAAGAAAAGCTCTGCGATCTCATCGTCGACATCTGCAAGTGTTTCGATGAGCTTCTGCCTCTTCTCCTTGCAGAGCTCAAGAATATCCGCAGGTATCTCGTCGGTCTCCCTAATGGTCTCGCCCTTGGGTCCTTCGTTGTAAATCGCCTTCATCCTGACCAGATCCACAACACCCAAAAAGCCATCCTCGCGGCCGATGGGTACTTGGAGAGCCGCAGCCGGTATGCGAAGCTTCTGGTTGATCTGTTCGACAGCCTTCCACGGGTTGGCTCCCATACGATCCATCTTGTTCACAAAGGAAATCCTTGGAATGTTGTACCGCCTCATCTGCCTGTCGACTGTGATGGTCTGACTTTGCACTCCGCTGACAGCACACAGGATCATGACGGCTCCATCAAGGACTCGCAGTGCTCTCTCTACCTCGATTGTAAAGTCGATGTGGCCTGGGGTGTCAATCAAGTTGATGTGGTATTTCTGGTCCTTTCCTTCATCATCCTTCTTGATCCAGTCACAGAAGGTCGCAGCAGACTGGATAGTGATGCCCTTCTCACGCTCGAGATCCATAGAGTCCATCTTGGCACCCACAGCATCTTTGCCGCGTACCTCGTGTATGGCGTTGATTCGGCCGGTGTAGAAGAGGACGCGTTCGGTGGCGGTGGTCTTGCCGGAGTCGATGTGTGCTGCGATGCCGATGTTTCGCACTCGCGATAGTCGCTCCCATTCGACAGGGTCTAGGTTCTCGACGATTTTCTCTTGCGTCAAGGTAGAGGGGTCTTCCTTTGCTTGCTCCAGCCTATGACGTTCAATCAGCCTTCCATTGCTCTCTGGCCGTCACAGAACAAACATGGCAGCACATACACTTGCGCAGCCGCAGACTGCCATCTTCGTTGTGGCTTCGTGGTGTGGGCCCCTATCCATGTGTCTGTCTTGGTGCCGTTGGTATAGGGCGTGCGCGTTGCCGCAATGGTCGAAAGAGCGCATCGTGAAGGCGTCGCAACCGAGCGTGCTGAAGAGCGAAGACTGCTCGTGGCAAGTGATTGCGCCCGGAAAAGAGACTGAACCCTCATCTTGAACAAAGGGGCGACGCGGGGTCTGCTGTCGCTTCGCAATGTCGAATTGCCCGCCAGGAAAAAGTTGGGCCATCGGAGTTTCGGCGGAGGTGCCAGTCACGTGTCGACGTGTGCCCGCCCACCCTACCATAGGCATTGCACCAGTGGACAAGTAGACAGAAAGCCATCTTGGAGTGAAGAATGGGATTGTAATCTAATAGTGATGTCTGCCAGATTCTGCGAAGCCTATCGCTAAAGAACAACTATGCACGCAATAGTCCTATCCAAACCCACCTCCGCTCCATGTCCTTAGGTATCCGCCCAAATATCAGTTACGCCAAACAATCGCTCCAGAAAATGCTGTTGAGAAGTGAAAGAAGATGGGAGCCATACAGCTCCGCGCACATAACATCGCCCATAATTGTGCAAGATGGCATGGTACGACAACCTAAGACTTGACCAAGTGTTGCAGGAATACATACGACTTGAGAATTGTATACGCCTAGGTCAGAGGCATAATGGCCCTCGTCTACCGGACCATCTCCTCTGGGAAGTTGGGTGTCTGGAGTTCTGCAACTGACGAGTCTACCTCTTGAACTGGAGTGGCTGGTTTGTGCGATTCGTGTGTTGGCTCATTGGCGATAGGCTCCTCGGTTGTCCGATCGCCATGTTCAGATTCCTTTGCGGGCTCATCTCCATCCTTGTGCTCCTCAGAATTTCCGTTCGTAACCACTGCTCTGGCCTTGGACACGACATCTTCCGCCTTCTTCTTCCCCTTTTGTAGAGTGCCGATCTTGGAAGCGGCAGGAGCCTTACGCGGTGGTGATGACGGCTTTTCATGGGGCTTATCGTGTGTCTTGCTGGAGCTGGCGGCCGTGGGTCGCATCATGCGCTCGAGGAAGCCTCCTTTAGGAGCAGCACTTGCGGTTGAGGTGCGCGATTCAGGTCGTTTGGGCGCAGGGGGTGCGATGGAAGGGCGCGAAGTCTTTGGTGCCGGGGCCTTGGGTGTAGGACGGGTGTTGGTGGAGGGCTTGCGTGTGACCTTGGGCTCCTCGCCATGTTTGGCAGCCGAGGCAGCCGTCGGCGCAGTCAGACGGGTTGGTAAACCGACTGGACGAGTAGGAGACTTTGGGGCTGGCTTCTTAAAGCCTGTTGGGGACGTGCTGTAGCGTTGTTAGCATTGGCGCATTGTCCCACGTGGCTCTGTCATACCTTTTGCGGGGGGCGGAAGTAGTGGGCTTGGGAATGGCAGGCTTCTTGTTCTCCACAGGTGCGGCCGCAGGCTTGGTCTTGGAGGCAGCAGCAGCAGTGGATGCCGTCGCTGAGGACGCAGATGTTGCAGGTCGCAGAGAGGTGCGGCTGGTCTTAGCAGTTGGAACCTTTGCGGCTGGAACCTTTGTTGCGGGGGCCTTGGCAACGGGGGCCTTGACAGGCTCCTTAGGGGCTGCGGGCTTTGTGGTCTTCGCAGCTGGACTAGGCTTGATGGTGGGTGCGGCCGTCTTGGGTTTCGTAGGGGTCTTGGGTGCTGCTTTAGGTAGCGGGCTTTTGGCAGGGGCGGCGGGAGCCTTGGCAGGTTTGGCAGTCGAGATGGCAGCGGGCTTCCTGATCTCGGGCTTCTTGAGCCCAGGAGTTCCATTGGCCTTGGCCTTGGTTACAACAGGTGTGGCTGCTTCTGAAGCAGGTTCGGTGCTCGGGGCCATTACTGCTTCAGCCGGCGCAGGAGCGGTCGCGTCGGGAACAGCGGCTTCGTCGGCAGGCGCAGCAGGTCGTAGAGCAAGCTCCTCTTGAGCACCCGTCACTGCCTTGTCTGTATTCTCGGCGGGCTGAGCTGGGGCTGGGGCCGGGGCAGAGGGCTCCTCGGTGGCAGCAGCTTCAGCTTGCACAGCTTCGGCTTCCTCTGCAATGGCAGCTTCCTCGATGACAGCGGCCTCCTCTGCGATGGCGTTCTCCTCAGCAACAACGGCGTCGTCATCGACGGCAGCGTCCGGCAGAGCAGGCTTGTCTTCGTCCACGACAGCCTCCTCGGTGGGCGCGGCAGGTCTCAGGGCGACATCCTCCTGCGCGCCTGTAGTAGCCTTGTCCGGGTTCTCGGCAGGCTGGGCAGGTGCTGCTTCTGGCGCGGGGACTGGAGCGGTCTCGACAGCGCTCTCGGTGGACTCGGCTGGTGTCTCGTCGACTGGCACTTCTTCCAGCTCCGGAGCCGGCACAGCGATGTCGGCGGCCGCAGACTCCGGGAAGTCGGAGCCCTTCATGATGGAGCCCAGGTTGGGCATGTTGGTGGGTGTGTCGTCGCGGATGGGCGGCGCAGGCATGGAGGACTCGCGCGACGCGACGGCCTGCTCGGGCACGGCCTCGGGGATGGCGATGCTCTGGCGGCGCTGCTCCTTCTCCTCGCTGACGACCTTCTTGAGCTCGGCCAGCTCGTCGGTCCTGTCGTGGCTCACGCGGAAGCTCTCGCGGCGGGTCGCGTTGACGCTGTTGGAGGGCGTGCCCTTGGTCTGGCCGAGGTCGGTCGAGGCGTGGGCGGGCGTGGGCGTGGGCTCGACCGAGACAAACGAGGCGCGCACCTTGGACTTGGGACGCTCTTCGCCGCCGTCGGTCGCGGCTGCCGTGTCTGTCGGGGAGCGGCCGCGGGGCTCAGGCGAGGCAGCGGCGTTGCCGTTCTCGAACATGGCGCGGAGGTTGCGCACGCCGTTGGACATGGCTGCAGTGGGACGAGGCGAGCGTCAGTGGTGCTGGGGCGGCGGGCGTGGGAGCAGAGGGTTATAGGATACGTGGGAGATGGCCGTGGCCGCGCCTGAAACCCGGCCAATTTGTTTATGTACACGCAGCGACGGCGGCGCGACAGGGTTCTCGGGCGTTGCACAGGGAGGCTGCAACTTACAACAATGGGCAATGCTAATCAACTCGCGTTCAGGAACAAGGGCGGTGACAATGGGGAACCCCTGGGGACGTCGGTCGAGCAGGAAGGAGTCGCTGGTGCTCCCGAGTAACCAAGACAACTGCCCAAAGCATCATAGCTCCAGTGACGTCTGGCCTCGCCCTCGCCCAGCACAGCACAACAGTGCGCACTGCACATGCATTGTATAATCTTTCATTTCGACTCCGCATTCAATCCTCAGCCCCTGGAAGCCTCTCGCTGCACATCCGCCAGTCCTCCCTTCACTGCACACACCGCTCATTGCAAATGCCGCATCGTCTGGCAGCCGACAACGACTATCTCCGTCGGCACCACGCGAGAAAAAGAAAAAGGCTCCGATGCCATTGGCAGCTGCACGCGAATGCCACGGATGAAATGTCAGTGCCACGCCAATCATGTCGCATATGGGCGCAATTCCCTCGTCATTTCCTGGCTGTGGCCAATCAGCGATGATCCTCCTTTCCAGTCCTCGTCGAGCCCGCACCTAAACACACGTGACGCATAGAGCAGCGCTTGAACAGCCGGACATGTTGGTAAAGCAGGATCGAATGGGTATCGAATTCAGAACATTAAACGCAGTTTACATTACACAGGACTGTCCAAATCACCCTCACAGCTTCCACTCGCCGTCCCACACCTCAGATGCAAATCATCCGACGCAGCACCAATCCAGACTCCATAATCACCGCCAACAGCAGGAATCACCCAGTTCTGCGACACTACATCCCACACACTAAGATCCTTTCTTGTGACCCTCAGACTAAGCGTCTGGCTAGCCCCGGCCTCCAGTTCCCTCGTCTTTTCAAAGTCACGAAGCTGAATGACGGGTGTGTCGACTGTGCTCTCGTTGGGGAACTGGATGTACAGTTGTGCGACGGCCTTGCCCGCGCGGCTTCCCGTGTTGGTGACGCTGACGGTGATGTCGTATGCCGTGTCGAATAGAGCAGGGTTTCCTCCTTGTGCGCCACCAGCTGGTAGACCAGGTTTCTGCTCGTTTGAGTAACCCGTGGGGTATGGGTATGTCGAAGTCGAGTTGCCAATCTTGGCTGCGGCATCGGCATCGTTCTTGTCGAGCCACGAGTAGAGGTAGCGCCAGATGCGGTTGAAGTTCTCTGGCCAGTACGCCTCGGAAGCCGGAGGGATGGCGGTTGAGTAGGTGGGTGTCTCGCCCTTCGCGGGACGAGCTGGCGGCGCGGCTGTAAGCCGAGTTACTGGAGTAATGGTCGCGTTGGCGAATGAGAACGACGTGTAGCTGAGTCCGTGACCGAAGGCGTACCGAGGTGTGATATTGGCCTTGTGGAAGTGACGGTAGTCGATGTAGAGACCCTCGGTAAAGGTATCCTGTGGTTGCCCAATCTGATATCCGACAAGGCTCAAAGACTGGGGGTAATCATCTTCGGAGTTGGGGAGAGTGTACGGCAGATGGCCTGATGGAGACACATCGCCGTAGAGAACCTGCATCAGTGAGTCTCCTGCTTCTTGGCCAGGCAGATGGGCGAAGAGGACGGCTTTGACCGAAGGTAGATCGTGCCATTGATCCATGAGAATGGGACCGACGGTATGTACCAAAACCACAACGTTGGAGTACTTGGCTGCTACGTCCCTGATAAGCTTATCGCCATTGTGCCATAGGTTAAGGTTCGAAGAAGTCCGATCTCCTGGGTTGTTCTCAACAGTAATATAGTTTTCGCCAGAGTCTGCAGTCACAAAGACGACGGCAGTGTCGCTCGGCGATGGGTTCGAGTTTCCTGGGAAGGAATCCGTATTGAAGAACTGATAGTTGGCGCCACGGGTCTTGAAGCCGTCGATCGGGCTGTTCATGTAGGGGTATCTCGCTGAGCCAGATCCCCATCCCATTCCTAGTGTGCCTTTGTTGCATCCTTGGTCCGCGCACGAGTTTATCCCGTCGGGGTTCTTCTCCGCGTCTGTGCCAAAGATCTTCAGTGTACCGTTGGAAGACAGAGGTAGCAAGCCGTCCTGATTCTTCAAGAGTGTGATAGCATCGCGGGCCACTTCACGAGCGACCTCTGCATGGTTGCCCTGAACATCCACAAACTCATTCACGATACCTTGAGGCGAGATAAGAGCGCCTGGATAAAGAGGACCCTCGGCGTTCTGAGTGTTGGCATCGAAATTGGGTCGCGGGTAGTCCTGGTCCTGGCCCATCTTGAAGTAGGTGGCAAGAATGCGTGTGACAGCATCGTTCAAGCGGTCCACTGGGAGAGATCCGTTGAGAATGGCACGCGACTGCTCGTACATCCAGTAAGAGTTGCCAAAGAGTGGAATGGTGTGGATGTCTCCAGGCATGGACATGTCAAGTCCTGCGAGCGCCGAAGCGACACCGGAGATCTGAGCAAGCCAGTCAGACATGACGAAGCCCTGGAAACCGAGCTCCTCCTTCAATATACCGTTGATCAAGTAACTGTTCTGCGAGCATGCACTTCCGTTGACAGCGTTGTAAGCAATCATGACGGCACCAACGCCGGAACGTACCCCCTCAGCAAATGGCCAAAGATAGAGCTCATGAAGCGTGCGATCGTCCAAATTCGATGAAATGCCAGGCTTGACCAGGTTGTACATGCGGTACTCTTCCTGCTCGTTTGCGATCAGATGCTTGATTGTGGCTATGACGCCCGTGCTCTGGATACCTTCGATGGAAAGAGCTCCACCAAAAGCCTGGAGAACAGGATCTGAGCCGAATCCTTCCCAGTCTTTGTCTCTGTTAGCTCAAACATCAAGGCTGGCTTCTGTTGATGCACTTACTTCTACCGCCACGCGGTTTACGTCCTAGCGGACCGACCGACGGTCCGAGATGAACGTTTACTCCCTTGCCACGGAACTCTTCGCCGATCGCAACACCACGACGATAGAGAAGATCCTTGTCCCATGTGGCTCCCACCGTGATGCCGGCAGGGAAGGCAGTGTTGTGATCCGTGTTTCTGACACCTAGAGGTCCGTCCTGCAAGCAGAGCTGAGGGATGCCTACTCTTTCTGCGCTGCCTGTGTTTCCGACGCATCTTCCCATGAAGATTCCACTACCGGCTGTGAGGTTGGTCTTTTCGGCAAGTGTCATGTTCGAAACAAGAAGAGATGCCTTTCGGTAGCTCTCAGTCCAGTCCGATGCCCATCCTCCATGGGGAGCTATGTAGAATCAGTATCGCTATGCTCGGTACAAAACTAGTCGGTCGATGTTATCTCCGATAACTTACCTGGGTAATATGGTGCCGCAACATATCCAGCTGGAACAGGATCACGTCGCTGAAGAGCAGCACCAGCGGCGAGTGTAGAGAAACATAGGACAAGAGAGGGAATCATGATGAAGGAATGACTGTAGATCAGCGAGTGAGCGTCAAGGAGGACGGTAGCCTACAACTAGGCATGGGAAGGAGATCACGGTCCTTTGTATAAAGAGCCCCTGCTTGAGCCAAATCCAACCCCGCAACACCAAGCCGGTATGGATATCGCATTTCTACCAAAACTAAGCGTGCACTAGCCATGGTGTTGTATAGTGATAGACACGGTGGGTAACGCGCATGACGGAAACAGGCATAAGACCGAGTAGTATTGTCGTGCGTCAAGGCTCAATGCTGGGGTCAAGGATTTAGGCCGGCTAATGATCGGATGCTCAAAAGGCGCATGACAATCTCGGAAGGGACTGCAGCTGTTACACAACCGCTAGGGGCAGCGCCATACGCCTGAGACAACCCAACTCTTCTTAACAGAGAAAGTACAAAGAGAAACGTCCTCGCTCACGAAGAAAAGTACATGCCTAATGTATATTCAAAGTGATTGGTCTTGAATTGATCTTCGTATCTCGTGTAGAGTGCTAAGTTCAAGACTGGAGTACAAAGTCGTTGTATTGCCAAGCTGGCGGTCTCCTACAAGCTGCCTGTATAGGTGCACCACGATCCGATCCGATCGAGTGTAGATTGCGAAGGCTTTGTCCAATGCGCCACGTGCAGCCATAGCAGTCATGCGGCACGTTGCGTCGAAGCCATGATCGTAGCTGAGTGTATTCGTCTTCAGCCACATCAACGGTCCTATCACATGTCAAGATACCCGTTGGCTCGGACAGTGGATGAAGGGGTTGCGGGGTGGAGATGAAGACGACAAGGAGGATCGTGATGATGGACAGGGGCAAGGCGACCTCGGCTGCACTGGCGTATCCCCTTTCTGCTTCCGGCACACCCATCGAGCTTGTTCTCCGCCAACCACCACGCGTGTGGACCTATGATCTCATGTTCAAATCACACCGGCATTATGCAAAGTAGCAGGTACCGAGATGGAGTATTGGATGCGATCTTAGCATACACCAACTGGGCTGCTGGCTCGACTCGAATCCGAGTCATCGATCAAGGCCCCGGGGCAAATCTTGCCGAGTAGAGAGACAACTGGAAGCGGTGCCGTGGAAGAGTAACCTTGCCCCTTTGAAGTGCTGAGCGGTAAACACAAACCCAATGTTTCGCTTCACAAAAATGAGCACCTACAACGTGATTATCAAATCATCAGACGCCAGAGGTACTCAACTCATGAGAAGTCGCCCAACCGCCTGTGGCATTGAGGCTAACAGGCTGGACGTTTTCGAATGTTCGTGCAACGAAAGCAAAAGGCCATAGCGGAACTCCAAGTTCCGCGAATGACTTGGGTCTGGTAGCTATGCAAGCCCGAAGTTGATCCGACATGTTCAGCGAGTTGGGGACCAAGCGAACGCGCCTGCTACGATGGTTGTAAAGCATACAGTATACTCGGAGAGGACCTCGGGACCATCGGGGCACACGACAG